GAAGCGGCGTAATCCTTGAGACAGGCTACTTGTGAACGTTCTCCTGCAGCCTTTACAGATAATCGGCTTGTTTGATCGATGCACCTGAAGTTAAAAATAAAGCATTATGGTAAAAAAAAAAAGGCAATCTGCCTTCTTGCTTTAGCTCTTTCTGGGTGCTGGTTTGCAGCTATTCCTAGAACAGAAAAACATCTACCCTTAAGCTAAAGGGCAGGTGATCCCATCACATTTCCAGCGATAAAGATTTGGGGCTACATAAGCTCTAATGAACCATATATCAGTGGCTAAAGTTATTAGAAAAGTTTATCTCATGTTGGCAACAACCATTTTGTCCAACATATTTTTGGGAACTGCCAAAAACTTTTAAAAATATACTGAGAGATGTAATCTTTCAAACTTACACTTAAAGCATGACTCCGAAGGTGTTCCTGCCGAGTGAACCGTTTCCCACACGTCTCACAGGGGTAGGGCCTCTCACCTGTGTGAGAGCGAATGTGCCGCTTTAGTATTCCTTTCTGTTTAGCCGTGTAGGGACAGAACGGGCATTTGTGAAGCTTGATTGGCACAACTAACACATCACCTTTTGGAGAAAAAACACAATGCGTTAGATCAGGCAGTTCACCCGCGTCAGCTCTGTTGGCTTCTTTAGCCCCCTTGCTGCAAATCTGAGTCAAGATCCTTGCACTTTCCCCTCTTTTTGTATTTGGCTTACCTGGAATTTCTGTAGGGTGTGCAATTTCAGAAGACATTCATGCAGCTGCAGACGATCAAGTCCCTTGAAAATCAGCTTGCCTATACTTACACAGCTGATACTCTAAGGGAGTTGGCTCACAACAGAAAAACAAATTCATTTTATTTTAAGAAGCCCTTTAATCAAGTCCCAAAAATTTGCTTTTAGTGCAGTGGGGTCTCTGCACTATCTCAGCCATAGAAAGTCTCCTACTTTCTTTTTTTTTTTTTTAAGATACCATTAGCATTCAACAGAATTAGAAACTAAAATCTTTAACACAAATTATAGGTAGAAGTAGTGCCATGTTTCCCATATGCTTTTACAACATGCATAAATTTAGATGTGGAGAACCCATCTGAAAATATGAATGCTTGTTTCTACTGCTATTCCGTTTAGCATTCCCTTTCTGTTGGAAATAACAAGATGAAGGACTCCAATACATTTGCTGATGATATTTTACTTTTTCTACAATCAGACTATATGCACACAAGTAATATATAATTTATGAAGTCAGATGCAAAAGAAGAGAATAATATTTGAAGATCACATTTTACATAAACATGGGTATTGACAAGTTTTTCAGGATCAGCCCAAATATGAACTTCCTTTCCAGCACAAAGGCTGAGATGTTATACTAAAAGATTAGTTTTCCCTGTTTCAGGCACTGATTGAAGGAAGTGTTTGTGTATCAAGCTTTGAGCCCTTTAACGGTTACACCAAAGCAGGTGGGGCTGTAGAACCTTCCTTGCACTAAGGCTTGTCCAACCCCGTCTCCGAAAAAGGAATGTCTGGTATTAACGTGTGGCTATCAACTGAAATTCATCTCACCCAATTTTGGACCTTCACAAGGTATTCTTAATACCTTCCGGGTTCTTAGAACTCTGTTTAAAAAAAAAACCAAAACAAAACCAAAACCAAAAAACCCCACCAGTTCTTAGACCTGCCTTGCTTCCAGGCTCTCTAGAGGGGCCTGTGTACCCTCCCATCAGCTGTGAAGGGCACCAGGATGACTGGAACAGATGTGGGCAGTTGAAAGGAAGTGGCATTTATCTCATCTGTCAGCCTGAACGTGTGAGCGTGCCGTTCTTTTATCAAGACTTTGTATTTCTCATTCCTGGCGTCTTGAGAAAATGCTAAGATAGCAGGAGCACTGAAAGCTAAGGAGAGATCTTTCCATTCTACTAAATGCTTACGACGTTCAGTTTTAGCAGAGAAACATAACCAAATACAAGGTTTGGGTTTTTTTTTCCGCACTCCTATTTAAAGCATATCTACCATTAACATTTCTAGTATGTTGTCATAACACCTGATGTTCTCATCAAATTCTAGAAGCATTTCCCTTTTAATGATTCATTAACAGTCTGAAGATTTTAAGAGGAGGGAAAAAGTAAGCCAAGTTTGTGTGTTAGATGCTCTTGCCTTGCTACACATCAAAAACCATAAGCGTGATTTGGTGACAGTGCTCTGTTCTGATAACTTTCGTCTTTTGGTGACTGTAAGACTGGATTTGTGATTTCATCAGATTCCTCATTTTAAAGCAGTGAGAGATATTACTTGGTTTATTGGCTTTAAGATCACATGTGCATGCCTGAGCTGGAAATAACATGAATGTAAGCGTGCTATCTAGAGTAGAATATTCAGTGAAAGATTTCCTCTCTGTTGTCCACACCATTATCGCATTTGTCACATCCCGAACAGCCACGGCACTTGTAGCGCTTGTCAGAGACACCTCCTGTCTTCATAAGGCAGTTTGGATGAGGCAACTTGTGCGCCAACATTACTGTAAGCAGATAAACTGCCCAAATCCTTATTGTCCACTTCAGGAGAAATGCCTACAGACACGACCTTCTTCTTCTCCAGGTCCCTGACATTGCTGCTTGGAGACATTCCTGCCCGCGCCAGTGAGACACCCCAGCAGGCGCTGGGCTGGGGAAAGCAGCAGAACCTCAGGTGATCAGCAGCTGAAAAGCGAGTCTGCTGCTAGATGTAAAAGTCAAGTCTCATCTTTACACAACACCACAGAGTTTAAAGCTTTCAGTGCTCTTAAAGAATTTCTAGGTATCACTCACTACTGAATAAAACTGATTTCTGCCCTTCTGAAGTTCAAAGTAAGTAACAGCAAACAGACTATCATCCAGCAACCGATGAGCTCCAGTGGAATAAGCTACTTCTGCTCCATCACGTTCTACTGCAGATCCCTCTTGTGGCAGCTGAACTTATCTTTTTGATTGCTCTTTCCAACACTAACATTATGAGAGGAAGATTCTTTTTAAAAATTTGCCTGCCATTCAACAAGGTCCCAAATGAAATTGTTTATTAAAGCAGTACCACCAACACCAAGCTCCAGGATCCGTTGCAAAGAGACTGTAAAAGCTCTTAGAAATACTTACCTCCCAAAGGCTGCACTGAATAAATGAGTACAGCTTTCTTTTGAAGTCCAGAACAAGTTTATTTTGCTACGGCATAATATTCAGCAATATATTCCTGAACAAGAACGAGTAACAAAGAAGTCGCAAAACTAAGCGGTTTCCTCCTCAATTACACAGACTACACCCCCCGGAGTCCTCTCACCTGTGTCCTCACCATACCAGTCGCTGTGAATGTCCATCATGGAACTCATGGCTACCCCTGCATCCTCTGGCCTACCCTCAAAGCCCCGGACAAAGTGATGAACCACATCATCCTTTCTCTGAGCTGAGCTGTTGCGCAACAGGGCCTCTAGGAATTGTTTCATGTGATAGTTATTGCAGGCCAGGTCCATCGCCTGCCCGCCGTGCAGCCCCTCTTCCATCTGCTCGAGGGACAACGGAGCCGGGTACTGCGGCAGCCGCTCCCCCACTTCTACCTCGACTTCATCCGAGTCAAACTCTACTTTGGGTTCCACCCCCTTGGGCAGCGAAGAATTAACGTCGTCCGGAGAATCGCTGCTCACGGGGTCTCTGACCACCAGCTCCAGGGGGTGGCAGCTGCTGCACTCCCCGCAGGGAGGATCTCTCTGGCAATCCGAAATCCTCTCCTTTTCCTGCAGGGAAGAGACAGAGGCAGAGCACTGGCTCTTGGAGCTGTACGAGGTGCCCTCTCTCGCGGAGCCAGCGCTCCCGCTATCAGCCTGATAGAAAGCGGCTTCTCTCTCTATTTTCCTGCAAATATCTAAGGATGACCTTATGTACGTTTTGCAGAAATTGACCACGTCGGTCATCTGCAAATAGCTAGCCGCAGACATCACCTCGATAACATTCTCCCCGCAGAGATCTAGCTTCCCGGAGTAAAGGAAATCTAAGATGATGGAGAAGGCCTCCGAGGTGACAATGTCCAGAGAGGCGGTGCTGTGGCGCCCGCTGTCTTGGATGTAGTGAATCAGCAGGGCTCGGAAATACCCGCTGTTGGCGAACAAAATGTTTTTGTGCGCTTTGAAGATCCTCCCCTCCACGATGATGCTGCAGTCGCAGAAGAAGTCCCTCTTGCGCTGCTCGTTCAGCTCTCCCAGCA